ATGAAACACTGGACTAGTGTCATTAATAACCATTTTGAGCAAAAGATTGATTTTCATAAAGTCATTTAACATTTGTCTGAACTCCAAACTGTTCATCACAATGAATACTGTTCGTGGTAAACACAGAGCATATTATTGAAGAAACATTTTGTAGTTATTAAAAAAAACAGAGCATTTTGACTGATGAAATGAAAAGCCAGAACATTTTGGGTGGACCAGAAGAAGTTCTTCGGACACTAAGATATAATTTGAAAAACCAGGATTGTCTTGGTAAAACAGGATATTTGGCTACTTTATGTAAGATTATGCTATCATGTATTCCCATCTCTTGGTAAACCATACATATTTGATACAGGATCAGAGTTAAAGTTATTTATGGAACTTTAATTTAGCATTTTTGGGTTTTCAAACACTGATTATTTTTATAATAAAATAAAAACCAGCAGGATCTTATTAAAGGGAAAAAGGCAAAATACCACATTTATTGTGAATACAGAAAGAATCATAGTAAGCAGTTAGTTATAGTTATAACATTCCATTCAATCTCATATTTATTCACACATTCATTCATACAGACACACACACACACACAGGTTCTGCAAGGTTGTTATCATAGTTACCAGCCTTAAAGTTGCTCATGCCAAGCCACTGGCCAGGTGGCCTGGACATGAGGAGGGAGCAGGGTCTTGTCAGATGCTCATCTGATGCTCCTGGAAGTTGGTTTGCAGAATCAGACCCCCAAAGTTCTCACTTTTTAGAGTCTATTTTTATAGGAATTTCTTCCTATGCCAGTCTATGGGAATTGCTTCATCATGCTGTTGCTGAATCAATCAGCAGATAGCACATTCCTGACGGCTCCGTGCTGCTAGATCTTATCTTGTTCTTTGGTTCTCCCATTCTTGAGGCTGTTGGGTGGATTCCAGTCTGCCCTCCAGGGGTCCTCTGGTTATTTCCACTTGACGCCTTCTTCAGCCGATGGACACTGGATTCTTAGGCTGGCACCTCCCTGATCATTCAGTTATTATCCACACCAAGCATCCATCCACATACATTCTCTATCTCTATTTTAATCACAATTGTTAATACAACAAAAGGGCGGGGAGTCCCTGAATGCTGTTTCTGTATTTCAGAGTATTGCTTTGAGTCTCTCTCTGTGTGTGAGTAGTTGTTATTACAAAGAATTGCTTTGAGAACAGACTCTGTCTTAGAATGTACTAATGCAATTAGCAGCTTGCAAGTTTAACACATAGAGGGAGAGAAACAGTACCAAAAACCAAGAGACCTCTTAATTAGTAATACCCTGGAATTTAAACTATGGGGAATCAAACTCATTTGTGATTTTAATACAGAACTTCTTTAATATGATCCAACACTATAACATTCTAATCAGGCTTTCTTCTCATAATATATTTACAATCCTAGCTCTATCTTACCAAAGTTTTGGGGTTTTTTTGTTTTGTTTTGATCTAGGTTAATCAGAGAATTATGTAGACTAATAATAATTTTCTAAATAAAGAAATCACTACTTTTACACTTCCATTCGCATTTAGAAATGGACAGGTACTCTCTCTCTCTCTCTCTCTCTCATCTTTGAGGAGGAAACAGTTTGTGTTTAGACTAAAGAATCTTAATATAAATTTGTGTGTATTTAATTTTGCACCTAACTGTCCATGGTCCTGGTCCATGACTGGTGCTCCTGGGTGCTACCACAATACAAATGATAAATTATAATAATTATAATAACTGAGCAATGTTGTGCTATTTTATAATAAAGTTGACAGAAACTTTCATGAGGTTTAAGTTTTTGCCAGATAATGGCAAAAAAGACATCTAAAAAAAATAAGACTAATATAACTGGCCCAGCTAAGCAAGTCCTACACTCAACTTGGTAGCCATGGCATGAGGGAGGAGGCAATGGGGGTCACACAGCCTCTGGCCCATTGGGGAAGGAGGAGTGGGGGACACAAAGTCCTTGGTATAAGTGGGGAGGGTGGTAGGGACTCCCTGAAATAGAAGGGGATGGGAGGGGGCAAGAAAAGGGGTGCAAGGAGCCCATGGTGTTTGCCGTGAGTTTGGCCTGCAGAAGCTATTGAGTATGCGGCCCCCTAGTGGTAATAGTTTATAGGTCTAGGCCAGCGGCTCTCAACCCGCGGGCCCACATGCAGCCCAATTAGCACACAGCTGCGACCCAGCTAGCGAACAGGAGCGGCTAACAGGAGTTTTGTGAGGAAGTTTAGAGGGAGAGTCGGGGGGTGGGGTGGGGACTAGATACACTTAACATTCTTTAAACTTAAAGCCAAAAACACCCCCTGATAAAAACAAAACATCAACAAAGGAACAAGCTGCAGGAGTAAAAAGAGACTTCAGGCAGAAGTCCAGCAACAGAGTGGGGGATATCCAATTTATTGCACCCAATGCAGCATGTATGATTACGTGCCCTATAGGCAGGTGGCATATGTGTGTGTTCGGTTCAAGGAGCTCCTGGTCCTCGGAGACCGAGTATGGGATTTGGAGATCAGAGTGGCTGAACTGGAGGAGCTAAGGGAGACAGAAGTACATAAATGAGACTTTCTGGGACGCAGTAGAACGGTCCCACCCCCGTCTGAAAGCTTCCGTGCTGTTGAGGAGGATGAAAGTCTCAGGGAAGGAGAACATCCAACTGGAGCAGAGGGAAACGATCCCATAGTTGAGAGGGACCCTCCTTCCATATGACTTTGTGGTATCCTCTCACACTGATGACATCTCTCCAGGGGAGGGAACTCCAGTTATTAGGAAGAGACAGGTAATAGTTATGGGGGATTTGATCATTAGAAAAATAAATAGCTGGGTTTGCGATGACTGGGAGGACCACATGGTGACTTGCCTGCAGGGCGCCAAGGTGGCAGATCTCTCAAAACATCTAGATAGACTTATGTGTAGTGCTGGGGAGGAGCCGGTGGACGTGGTACATGCAGGTACCAATGACATAGGGAAGGATAGGAGAGAGGTCAAATTTAGGCTGCTAGGTAAGAGGTAAGAGGCCGCAGAAAAATTTGAGGCCAAATTTAGGCTGCTAGGTAAGAGGTTGAAGTCCAGGACTTTCATGGTAGCATTCTCGGAAATGCTTCCAGTTCCACATGCAGGGACAGTTAGACAGGCAGATCTGCAATGTCTCAATATATGGATGAGATGATGGTGTAGGGAGGAGGGGTTTAGATTTATTAGGAACTGGGAAAACTTTGGGGAAGGGGGGAACCTATACAGGAAGGATGGGCTCCACCTAAACCAAAATGGAACCAGATTGCTGGCACTTAAAATTTAAAAGGTCGTAGAGCAGTTTTTAAATTAAGGGCCCGTGGAAAGCCGACAGGTGTGAAGGAGCATGTGGTTCGGACAGAGACATCCCTTAGAGGAGGCTTTTAATGGAGATTCTCTATGTCCTAGTAAGGAGGAGAGGATGGAAGATAATAAAATACGGGTAGGATCTGATAAGAAACAGTCAAATGAAAAAGAGTCCCATTCAATTTCATCTTTTTTTTAAAGTTCTTATATACAAATGCTAGGAGTCTAAATAATAAGATGGGTGAACTAGAGTGTCTCGTATTAAATGAGGATATTGATATAATAGGCATCACAGAAACTTGGTGGAATGAGGATAATCAATGGGACACAGTAATACCAGGATACAAAATATATCGGAAGGACAGAATAGGTTGTGCTGGTGGGGGGAGTGGCATTATATGTGAAAGAAAGCATAGAATCAAATGAAGTAAAGGTCTTAAATGATCCAAACTGTACCATAGAATCTCTGTGGATGGTAATTCCATGCTCGAATAATAAGAATATAGCAGTAGGTATATATTACCAACCACATGACAACGAATAATGATAGTGACTGTGAAATGCTCAGGGAGATTAGGGAGGCTATTAAAATAAAAAACTCAACAATAATGTGGGATTTCAACTATCCCCATATTGACTGGGTACATGTCACCTCTGGATGGGATGCAGAGATAGTTTCTTGACACCTTCAATGACTGCTTCTTGGAGCAGCTAGTCCTGGAACCCACAAGAGGCAAGGTAATTCTTGATTTGGTCCTAAGTGGAGCATAGGATCTGGTCCAAGAGGTGAATATAGCTGGACTGCTTGGTAATAGTGACTATAATATAATTAAATTTCTCCTTCTCATAACACAAGAACTAGGGGTCACCAAATGAAATTTATAGGAAGCATGTTTAAAACAAACAAAAGGAAGTTTTCCTTCACACAATGCACAGTCACCCTGTGGAACTCTGCCAGAGGATGTTGTGAAGGCCAAGACTAACAGGATTCAAAAAAGAACTAGATAAGTTCATGGAGGATAGGTCCGTCAATGGCTATTAGCCAGGATGGGCAGGGATGGTGTGTCTAGCCTCTGTTTGCCAGAAGCTGGAAATGGGCGACAGGGGATGGATCACTTGATGATTACATGTTCTGTTCATTCCCTCTGGGGCACCTGGCATTGGCCACTGTTGGAAGACAGGGTACTGGGCTAGACGGACCTTTGGTCTGACCCAGTATGACCGTTCTTATGTTCTTATATGTATGTTCTTAGCTGTGTGCTAAAGGCTGCTGGGCCTGTGCAGCGGGGTCTGGGTTCCTGGCCGCCTGGCTGCCCAGCGCAGCGGGGTCCAGGCTGCCCAGCCCGACATGGTGAGGGGGTCAGGGCCGCCAGCCAGCCCCGCAGGGTCCGTGGTCTGGGGCTGCCGTCTGGCCCCTCACCCTGGGCTCCACTCCTGGCCACACTCTGTGGAGGGGGCTCTGTCCAGGACGTGCTGCGCATCGGGGTCTGGGGGCGTTTTTGTCGGGGGGGCGCTTTGGTTCCCAACACTGTGGGCCGCATAAAAATAGGTTGAGAACCACTGGTCTAGGCTCAGGGACTTTAACTGTTTGTATGTATTTGAAAACATTATCCATTCTTTCATTTTTCTTGTAAAACATACATGTTTAATCCCCTGCTGTATTTCTTTTTCTAAAGTAGAAAGTTATGGCACTAGAGAGGATGACTCAGCTCAAGAGTGTAAATCAGGTAAGCAGAAAAGTATTACTCTTACTAAAGCTCTAAGTCTTATTGAAGAATCCATTGAAAACTGCAAGCAGATAATCCAAATAATACTCTCTTCTTCGAGTCTGGGATATTTTACATTTTGATCAACACCAAACTTCATAGAACAGGCATGTCCTACCGTTCTGATCCTTTTTAAAGGTGCCTAAATAAGGTCTGTCATGTCACTGAGGTGTTATGTAAATAAAGGGAGGAATTTCTCATGTTTTGATAGAGTAAGCCTGTGGTATCATTTTTATGCTAACTCCTTAAATTGTGTTTTTTTCTTACCACTGTTTTCTTTTCAGCTTACACTTTTAAATGTAAGGTAATGAAAACTTTTTGCAACACATTCACTGTCTATGGATCAAATCATGGCTGGTCTGTGCAGATATGCTAATGTGGGGAGAGGGTTCATGGAACTCTTTCCCCACTATGCCTGCTGAGGGCCAGCCATAGCTTAGATTGCTGACAGGGGGGCTTTATGTTATGGGGCTAGAGGTGGTCTCTCAGGTAGGAAGGTCCCAAACCATTCAGGGCTTTATATGTCATAACCAACATCTTAAACTCTACTCATAAACCAATAGGAAGCCCGCGCAGATTCTGGAGCATTGATGTCGTATACTCCCAGCAAAAAAGCCCCCTCAATAAGGGCCGCTGCATTTCTCTCTCTCTCTCTCTCTCTCTCTCTTTCTCTCTCTCTCTCTTATGTATATATCTTGTTGCCTGGCTAATCTGCTTGCATATCTAAATTTACGTTTTGTTTATCCATGAAGTTATTTAATTATTACCATGGCTAATGGGATGTAATTTTATTAAGGAGATGACAGTTCTGAAAATAACTCTGAAAGTAGCTCTGAAAGTGAGTCAGGTGAGTATTATGTTGTAATATCTATGTTTCATTGCACTCATTTAAACTTTTAGATTGATCTTAAATGATTAAAACACTACTGTTTATGTATATAATTTCAAACCAGTTGTTTACCATGATCAGTTCAGTGATTAGATACTGAGAAGCTGAATAATATTTTATGTGCTCAAATTATTCTCATGGTCATTCATGATTAAGGATTTACACAGAGAAGTAATAAAAAAAAGGTTAAAGTTTTTTTATTCTAGACACAATACTTGTTGAAATCATTTTTTGTTTCACAATAGTTGTCCTTAGCAACAAGAGGTCATAAATACACTTAAAAATTGGCAGCGAAAGTGGCAAAACAGGATGAACAGAAAAAGAATTGCAGGAAGTGATTGCTGTTAGTGAAAGGCATGCATGTTTTGAAGTATGTGTGTTATATTACCAGCAGTCTATTTATATTTCATACATGTTGATAATTTAATTTGTATTTAAATAATTAGAAGGCTTTTTGTCTGCAGATACTGAGGAGACAAATACAAGAAAAACAGGTGAGTATATACATATTCGTTCTTATTTCTGTTTCCATAAAAGGACAAGTTCCATTAGTAATTCTTACAACAATTTATAGGGGGAAACGGGATGCAAGATCAACCAAATGGCTGAGTGTTGATACAATGTGTAGCATAGTCTAGTTGTAAAGAATTTCTTCCTGTTAATCCCTCCCCAAATTAATAAAGAGCCCAGTTAAGAATTTATATCGTATGGTCTTATGCACTCATACCATGTATTTATAAATAAGTACATTCAAAAATACTTCCTGAATGCAATTTTAAAATTGCAGAGTTATGAACCCTAAATTCAGGATATACCAAAGTTACTGTACTCCCTTGCATGTAAGCATTGCAAATAGCTATGGGGAAAACTAATCTCAGGTAAAATAGAGTTTACTCAAGAATGGATTCAACTCACAGCCTTGAATTATGTGTTCACATATTGTTTTTCAGATAACATAGTATAACAGCATGTCACACACACCTCCCTTAAGATAGTGTGATCATGTAATTAAAGACTCTCACAGCCTGATTCTGCAACCCTTTCGGCTGGCACTACTAATGTGAGTATACATTACTCACCATGATGAAAGGCTGCAGAATCAGGTCAGTGGTGCATATTATCGGTAGAGCTGGTAGTGCCACCTATAGTTAAGGTAGCCTGACACTTCCCAGTAAAAAACCCTGTTTTCAGTTGCTTATAACATTGCCAAACTTTAATGGTTCAGTCTGATATGTTCCATGCTGAGTGTTGAAGCTTTTTGCAAAGTTTCAGCAAAAATGGTCCATCCGTTTCCGAAAACAGTATTAGGGAAAAAGGCATTGTTTTCCCCATATTTAAAGAGAAAAATTCTTACATCCATTTCATTGAGAAGCTCTAGTGCAGTGGTTCCCAAACTTTTTTTTTTGCAGACCACTTCAAAATTGCTGAGGGTCTCAGCAGACCACTTAATGATCTTTCCAAATGTTGTTTGTACCGTTAGCTAACTATTGTAAAGCGCTTTGGATAAAAGCACTATATAAAAAAAACTTTAATAATAATTAATGTTTTTTTGTTCTACAAATAAAAACACACCACTCATATTTTAATATCAGTTGTCTTATCTTTCTAATGCGATGGATGTGCCCTCTCTCCCCTGCCGCGGCAGCCCCTTAGCTGGGGCTAGGAACGAGCGGGGTCTCTCCCTCTCTTCTCCACTGAAGCAGCCCCTGAGCTAGGGCTGGGAAGGAGGGCCATCTCTCCCTGGCAGCCATAGCCCAGGAGCTGGGGAAAGTCACCTCTTTCTCTGGCTGCCACAGCCCTGCACGTCCCAAATTCACCCCACTCCCTCTTCTCACCCCACTGACCCCTCCCTCCTATCCCCTATTCCCCCCAGGGCCACCACCTCACCTCACATGTGCGTCTTCTCCAGGGTCCAGGCACCTAATTAGTGGAGCTGCGCAGGCGTGGCTCCACTAATTACTTGCGTGGCCCTTCATTCTCTCATGTGTGGCCACCCAGGCACGTGCCTTAGAGGGAACTATCCGCAGACAACCTGAAAGGAGCTTGCGGACTACTGGTGGTCTATGGACCACAGTTTGAGAACCTCTAATTAGGTGCCTGAACCCTGGAGAAGACGCACATGTGAGATGAGGTGGTGGCCTTGGGGGATATAGGAGGTAGGTGGGAGGGGGCAGTGGAGTGAGAACAGGGGTTGGGGGGCATTTGGGACGTGCAGGGCTGTGGCACCCAGAGAAAGAGGCGACTTTCTCCAGTGCCAGAGCAGAAGCTGCCAAGGAGAGACGGCCCTCCTTCCCAGCTCCAGCTCTGGGGCTGCTGTGGCGGGGGAGAGAGGGCACATCCATCCCATTAGAAAGGTAAGACTACTGATATTAAAATATGAGTTGTGTGCTTTTATTGTAGAACAAAAAAATTATTATTATTAAGGGTTTTTTTATATAGAGCTTTTATCCAAAGTGCTTTACAATAGTTAGCTAACGGTACAAACAACATTTGGAAAGATCATTAAGTGGTCCGCTGAGAACCTCAGCAATTCTCAAGTGGTCGGCAAAAAATAAAGCTTGAGAACCACTGCTCTAATGCCTCTATGGTTTGGAGCTGGGACTTGAAATTTGGCCTGGGGGAATCACCCTGGTGTCAGGGATAGGCTTTTTGTCATCTATGTAAAAGAGTGTCTCAATTTGGCCAAGTTATAAGCCTTTAAAAATCTCACTTCACACATGCTCTGTAGAGATTTGTTAGAATTTGGCAGTTAAATTCTCTGAAGATTACATCCGCTACTCTTGGGGGAATTCTGCACACACACAAAAAAATTCTGCACACGATATTTGAAAATTCTGCAAAATTCTGCATATTGTATTTGTCAAAATAACACAATATAATCATGCCAGTTTCAATTATTTTGGTATTTTATTTCAAAATATCTGTCAGTGAGTATGTCTGTAACAATACGACCAAAAAAAAAAAGATTCTGGTAATTTATTTTTAAATAGATTCCTTACTACGCATATTAATGCAGAACTTTGAGTAATTCATTTAAATTACAATACAGAACTGTATTTTCTGCACCTGTCAGAAGTAGTGCAAAGGCTTGGGGGAGTCAGGGGTAACCGAGGAGCTGAGGGAGGGGGAAGGAGCCTAGGAGTGAACCTGGAGGATGTTGGGTGTAGGTGTGAGAAGCTTTTTGCGGGGGAGGGGGATTGTTAGGGAGTTGGGAAGTCTCCCCCATGCAGTCCCTGGCTTACCCCAAGCCTCTCCCATTCAGTCAGTCACATCTGCCCCCGTCCCTGCACTCCCCTATCCCCATGGGTCTCTGCAGCCCCTCTCCTCCACCCCCAGGCTCAGCATTGTCACTCCACTAACTTCTGAGCCCACGCCCCAGTCTGTCCCCCCACTAGCCATTCTGAACCCCAGTCTGTGACCCTCTAGCAGCCCCGTATGCCCTACTCTGTCTGAACCTGGCTCTGCGGCTTGGTGCTGTGATAAACTTCTACTTCTGGGGGAGTTCTACGGCACTGGGCATCAATTTTTTTCCCCCACAGAAAATACATTCACCCCAGAAGTGCTGCAGTTCCGCCTTTTGCCTACCAGAGGCTGCTATGGTGCCAGAGCAGCTGGCTGTGTTCATGGGTTCACACACTTTTCCAATGCGGGATGGGGGATTGAGGTCAGACAAAGAGCCAGTGGTGGTGGGAACTGGAATAGCTGGGCAAGGATAGTGCTACAAGAAGACCAGGGTTGGAAGATTGGGACTGGCTGGACAAGGTGACTGGAACTGGGATGAGGAGCCTGGAGGGGTGGAGACTGGGACTGGATAGACAAGGCGAATGGGATTGGGGTGAAAAGCTGTGTGGGGTATGTAGGAAACTGGGTTGGGGAGCTGAGGGGAGAAGCAGAACTGGCATAGGGACAGGCTGGAAGGGACATGGGCAGAAGGGGTCAGGTTTGTGGGGAACAAGAGCAAAAGGGTCTATGACTTCTGTGACTCCTCACAGCATTTCTCTGCTGTCAGCAAATACCTGGGAAACCCGTTGGCAAAGTGTGTGTGTGTGATCCCCATCTGCTGCTGATCCCTAGAAGATGACAACCTACTACAGCTATCTGTTACTCTGTTAACTCAATGGCAAGGGTCTGTGCTGTAGATCTAAAGGTTCCGATCCTACCGACGAACACGTAGGGGTCAGTATGATTCCACCTGCTGATTCCAATTTCTGTTTTTGAAAACCTAAGATATTACACACACAAAAACCTATGTGAAAAGAATGTTAAGGTTGTAAAGTCAAACACTGGAAAATTAGGAGATGTTAGAATTAAGGTGGCCCATGCCCTCTTATGCATACACATTGTGATAGATCTTTGTGCTTACTTTCATAGAACCCTGAAATTTGTCCATTATTTCATACATTCTTAAATATGAAGGCCATAAGGGACCATTTTGATCATCTAATCCCTCCTCTTGCATGACACAGGCCATATATTTAACCCAGGGATTTCTGCATGTATGCTAACAATTTGTGGTTGAACCACGAGAGTTAACAGAAAGACAACACTTAAACATAGGTTACCATGTGTCGTGGACAGTTAAGAGAGAAATACAGTATTGATGAACGAGTATTTATTTTTATTTACATTTAAATCAGACTGTATGAATCTCATGGGTCTGAGTCTATGATGTGAATTGAAATAAAGGAGTTGAGGTTGCTGATGAGGGAAGGGAATAGTAGCTTCATTTCTTTTGGGTCGGCAGTTGAAGTCAGTGGGGTTGTCCAAGTGCAACTGTGAGCAGAAATTTGCCCAGAGGGCTGATGGATTTGATATATGGTGTATTTCTGCAAAATATCACTGGATTAAGCAGTGGAAAAAACTAGAATCAAAGGGAGGTTAGAATGTTTAGAGCCGATGGAAGGGTATTAAAAAAGATCATCCTCCGCTTTATTTTATGCAAAAGCTTTGACTAGGGCCTGTTGCAGCTTGAGTGTAGTTCATTATACATAATTGTGTATGAAATGTGTATTTTATAGAAGTAATCTTTTTTATAGATGAAGAATTGGAAAAGAATGAATTGCTGCCACCTGTTGCATCAGGTTTGAATGTATCTTGTTGAAATTGTGCATCTGACAATTTTTAATAATTTTTCATTTTAAAGAGTTGATTTTTACCTCTATTTTTTTTCATTTAGAGGCTAATAGCCAATTTCGCTGTGAACATGTCAAGACTGAACATGTACGTTTTTAAAATCCACATGAGAATTTGTGTTAGTATTTTGCAAATTGTAATTCTGCAAAATTTGTGCTTCACCAAATTTATTCATTTATACATACAGAACCAGAAAGAGCAAGTGACCCCCAGAAGACTTCCCAGAGGAATATTTTGGTAGGTATTGTTTAATGTAATTGGTGGATGTTTACGTTGTCCAGCCCAAAATGCTTCTATCTTCAGCTGAATTACATAAGCAATTAATTTATCGTATGTATCCTGCTCAGTAAATCCATTAAAAATAAACAGTTCATTACTCTCATCAGCACTAGCTTCTGGGCCCAATCCAGCAAAATTTAACTTGAAGTATGTGAGCAGTCTCATTGAAGTAATTAAAGTTAAGCACGTGCTTACGTCCTAGTCCAAGGCTTCTGTAAAGTGTCTTGTTCTGTAATTCCCTTTTTTCACCTGAACTTGTCTAGATGTTGTGTACTTTCCATTTGAATGTCTGCCTTGCCACAGTTATTCATGCATTTCTCACCTCTGGATTGGATTACTGTAATGTGCTTTACTTTGGATTAGTTCTGAATATCACTCAGGTTATATCTATATAGCAGCTGGGAGGGTGATTCCCAGCATGGGCAGACAGATGTGCTAGGTCTGCTTGAGCTAGCATGTTAAAAATACTGTGGCTGCGGTGGCAAGAGTGGCAGCTCGAGCTAGCTGTCCGTGCCACCCTGTCCACACTTCTGTTTTAGCACAATAGCTTGAACAGAACTAGTATGTGTCTGCCTGCCTGCATGGGGAATCACCCTCCAAGCTGCTGTGTAGACATACTCTCAGAAACTTCAGCTAAGGTCTGGTCCAACATCCATTGGAAGTCAATAGGAGTTGGTTTGAGCCCCTAGTGTGGGTAGCAGCTCTCCACTTTACCTGTGTATCAAGCTCTGCACTGGTTTGGACTTCGTCCATTCCTGCATTCATTTAGCTGGCACGCTAAAAAAGCAAACAGACAAGCTTAGGCTTAATCTTTAAAAAAAAAAATTAAATAAAAAGATTTTATGTGCTATTTTCCATGCTGTTCTTGGTGGGGAGAAACCTCAAAGGAACAAGTCATTTTTAAAAAATAATTTATCTCATATGAACCACTTTTAAACAAATCACATTACGTAATATTTAATATGTAATGAAAGTTAAACTGTATTTGTCACACTTGTCCAATACAGGTTGAAGCTGGAGGCAGAGGGAACTTACCAATGTACTGTTACAGGCTTGATTTTCGATGTAACCAAGGCTGCTGTAATCAAATATTCTGTGTTGTCTTGGAGCAAATATGCTGATTATGTTAAAAAACCATGGATAGTCGGTGGCCCTATATTTGATGTCAGTTGTGACTCAACCTCTGTTCTTACTTCCATTCAATTCCCACATTCCCTCAGCCTAAATGGTAAGTACTGTATATTGAGTTTAACAAATATAGCTATCTATTACTATTCATTATAAGAAATGTTAATGTTTTGGTATCTCTTTGCAGATCATGAATCTGACATGACATTCAAAGTTTTACATATCAAAAGTACTGGTCCAGCATTTGAGCCTTCTGTTGATCATTCAATGACGCATGTCAAATGGCATGTGAGTTCTCTCTCTCCAGTAGGACCGGTTATTCAAACACAAGAGCCAGTACAGTACGATGGGGCTGTAATTTTATACAAAGTTGTCAATAATCACCCTTCCTTATCATTTCGTGTGTATGTAGCAACAAATAACGATTCATTTATAAAGGTATGGTATGTTTTTTTAACTTACCAGTGGAAAGTGCTCAAATTCAATATAAATATGCCCAAATGTTGATCATTAAAATGTTGACATTGTCTTGTAGTTTAGGCCTCAGATCTGATGTACATTAAGTTTATAATGTGGCCATGATGTTGTAGACATAGAGAGTCTGATCTTCCAATAAAAAGAAAAGAAGTACTTGTGGCACCTTAGAGACTAACAAATTTATTTGAGCATAAGCTTTCGTGAGCTACAGCTCACTTCATCGGATGCATGCAGCTCACGAAAGCTTATGCTCAAATAAATTTGTTAGTCTCTAAGGTGCCACAAGTACTCCTTTTCTTTTTGTGTATACAGACTAACATGGCTGCTACTCTGAAACCTGATCTTCCAATAGAGTGTCTCACATGCCGGGGTCTAGGAGTCATTGGGAATTCCATGCATGGAGGGCTTGCAGGATCAGGATGAGGACCAGAATGGTTCAGCTCCCAAATTAGCTCATACTCTGTCATTCATTTTCATTGTTTGTGACAGAATTGACCTTTAAGCTGCCCCATGTAACATAACAGTGAGAGAATGATATTTGAAAGTTACTGAAGAATAGACACTTGGCAGGACTCACTCTGATCCAGTCGGCATTGTGATGCTGTTTGCAGGGGGCTAACAATAGGTCTGCTCCTTGCTTTATTCAGAGGAGGCTAAATATGAAGTCAACATGTTGGCAATTAGAACCCAGTCCTGCAAAGAATTGTGCACCCTCATTTCCCCTTTGAAGTTTTCTCATGGGCAGTGGAAAGTGGTCAGCACCTCAGAGGATAGGGTTCAATGAAACTAGAGAAGGTAGAAGAATGTTTCTCTGGTGGTTTCTTGCTAATGAATGCTTTTGTAAATTTGTATATTGCTTTTTGTAAGGCTTGTTGTGTGGAAAGGCACGTATGTGGTAAAAAGGATTATTAGTAATGAGCAGAAATGAAAGTTGTGAGTAGCACTTTAAAAAAAGCCCTATAGACAATCACATTCATTATTTGCATAATGGGATATCATCCGAATGCAGTGGCTTACTGATCTGCAAAGGGTGAAGGCTCCGTCAGTGTCTGATTGGAGAGGGATCTGGGTGCCTTGGGCACATAAACCTGTCCAGCTGTGAGTGAGAATATATCCCATGATCTGTAAATGTTTGATTTGACCATTTACTTTCCAAGGAAAAGCATCACCATCCATTAATAAAATTGGGGATATAGAAAACCACAAGGAAGTTTAGAAGCACATCATTGTTTATGAAATTCTTTAGTTTGTAGACCAGGATGAGTATCAAGTAAATGTATTTTTAAATTTTAGGATATCTCGAAAGCCGTAAAACATTCTGATAAGAAATTCATCAAAATTGACAAGCCCCCGGTTTGTCAAAAACGACTACAAAATGGAAAGAGATACAGATTAATTAGTGAGTCAGAAGCTGAAATAACTCCTGAGGTATGTTCTATATGAATACATAATTGGACTGTCAATGTGCATATCACAGCTCAGCTGCAAATATTTTGTGAAAAATACAGGTTTTATCATTTATACTCCTCATAAATTCAGGGCATGCATCACTGTAAATGAATTCCAGCACATTTGTTTATTATCATTACAGGAAAGCTTTACCCTTAGAAACTCTAAAACTATAGGGGTGAATCCGGGCCCCACATGAAATCACTGGCAAACTTCCTGTTGGCTTCATTGCTGCCAGGATTACACTCCAGATCTATGCCACAGCTTTTCTGAAAGCTGCCTTTTTATGTTTAAGCTATTTTAATGCTTACAGTAAATGTTTTAGCTTTTTTAAAAAACTGATTTACATTTTTAGGAAATTGAATTTGTTGATGGCTCTCTCTTAAAATTAAAAAGTTATATTGAAGTCTACTTGGAGCAACCTATGGAGTTTACATTATCTTTGATTGAACTCGAGTCTGAAGAAATTGTCTGGAAAGCAAAACTAAGAGAATGTGAGTATTTTTTGTGTTTGACTGAGCTGTAGTTTGTTTCTGTTGAAAACTTGTGCAAGTTTGGGTCAAATTCTGTTTCCATTGAGGTCACCAGATCTGGAGCTGAAAGTGCCAAAACACTAGGAAAAGGCAGCTGTAATTCTTGTGGCTAGGACAGAGGCAGGGAATATTGGAAAATGTAATGTAATTTATTTTAATTTAAATATTATATATAATATAAAATATCTCAACATTTTATAACTTTTATTTTGTGGGTTTACACATGTACTGCAGCAGAAGTGCAGTCATGAGAGCATAACATCATTACAGTCTCAGAAATGAGAATGGCAAAATATATTTTCCATTTGGTTAATAATATATGTATAATATACATTTGAAAGAGAGCAAAGGCCTGAATATATATTTACATGAGCATAATATAAATATGAATTTACCTAAAACACTAGAAGTAGAGCATTGAGTACTCTGATTTAATTTATGGTACATGGTGAAACTTTACCCTGCGAAATATTTGTTTGTTTATTTGTATAGCTAATATTACACAAATTTTCAGATAACCAAGACTGAAAGAGGGCCAACAATCAATGTAAAATAAATATTTATACAATACAGAGTTTTATGACTTTAGATCTAGTGATATAACGATAATGATAGTAATATTGTACTTTGTTATTTTCCAAAATGTTTGTTCCCTGTTTTACCCAAGTAGATAGATTTTCTAACAAGCTGCTATTCATTATGAAAGTCTGTAGGGATGTGAATGAATCTCGGTAATGAAATAAATACAGAAAGGAATAGATATTAGGATATTTGGGAACTGTGTTTCAAAAAAGATTTGGTTCATGAATGTTATGTAAATATCATGTTGTGCTGATTTAGAATGACATAACACTGTAGTAGAACCTTGCTTATTTACACTAATGACTGAGAACCCATTAGAAGATGGTCAGAATTAGCCAAGGGTTAAATCTTAACTTCCATGGGTTTGGATCAGGCTGTTTATCAACTGACCAAACAGTAAAAATTGAAAGAATTTCACATTGCAGAGTAGACTGTTTTAATTTATTTTAGAAAGGGTGGTTGAGTTCTAATTATTAAAGATAATACATCATATTATACATGCTGTGAAATATTTGATAAAAGTAACAAAATCATAGCAAAATGATCTCATTACAGTACCCTACTGTTAAATCTTTGCTGAGCAGTGGAAGAGACTAATAATTTTTCTGTGTGAGAATTATTGGATTTGTGGATTAGCAGTGAGAATTATTGTAGTGCCTTTCATTTACTCCAGAAAACATTTATATTTTAACAGGTGACTGGATACTACATGACCAGAACAAGAATGAGCAGAAAAGAAACACAGTCAGTAAGTTACTTAAAAGAAAAGTGGGTACTACATTATTTCTATTCTTTACAACTTGGTTGTGCTGTGTAAGGTTCCTCCCTCTTGGGGTTAGTGCACCCCCTTCCAGCAGCGTTGGGGAATCGGTAGGTTGCCCGGATGTTTGTCAGGATGGCCTGACTTGCAGCCATGTAATTGCCCTATTAGCACTTCCCATCTCTACCGGGGGGCGCAGCACACTGCCCAATAGCAGGGGTCCCCAGTCCCTGGTTGGGGTGCATAACAACAGTCTGTGACTCCAGCTTTGCGGAGTTAGGGTTGCCAGGTGTCCAGTTTTCAACCAGAAAGTCTGGTAGAAAAAGGGACCTGACAATGTCCGGTCAAATGTACTGACTAGACACCCAAAGTCTGGTTACTGTGGGCAGGGGAGGGGGGGAGGTGCTGGGTCATCACCTGCGCCCATAGGCGACGACTTCCCCTCTGCCTGGTGGGTGCTTGACCCCCCTGCCCCGCCCCTGTCCCGCCTCTTCCCACCCCTTTACCGCCCTCACCCCACCCCCATTCCACCCCTTCCCCAAAGTCCCCACCCCTTATCTGGCTCCTCCTCCGAGCGCGCTGCATCCCCGCTCCTCCCCCTCCCTCCAGGAAAGTCCTAAGTGCTGCCAAACAGCTGTTAGGCGGTGGGGGCGGAGGGGTGGGAAGCGCTGGGAGGGAGGGGGAGGAGCGGGGATAAGGCGCACTTGGGAGGGGGGAGGCGGTAAGGCGGGGGAGGGTGGAACTTGGCTGCCGGTGGGTGGCTCCAGCTCCGGAGCACTCACAGAGTCGGCGCCTATGCCTGCGCCAGCTCCTACTCAGCTGGGGTTGCCTCCTACCTACACCCGGAAACTGCAGCTCCCAGTCCTGGCTCCACAGGCAAGTCCCTCCTGACCTGGACAGAGGGGAGTGTGCAGGAGAGGGAAACAGCAGTGAGCAATGAGGGGAAGAGAAGCGAACAAGGCGGGGCCTCGGGGGCCGGGGCGGGGCCTCAGCAGGAAGAGGAGGGGCAGTTCTGGCCCTCCTGCTGGAGTGTCCGTTTTTGAAATATTACAAAGTTGGCAACCCCAATTGGAGTGTGGGGATTGATCAATGAAACAGTCTATTGCCCTCGGCTTGCTGGCTGGGGCAGGCAACCACCAAACAGTCTCTGGGCTCAGGTCCCTTTGGGAATTGTTCTGAGCAACAGTTACTGGCTCAGGCCTAAGGTTTCATGCCCAGCCAGCTCCTGAGTGTGGGGTGGGGAAAGGGGACCCATGCCCATCCTGATCCATCGGGTCCCAGCCCAGGAGCCTAGCAGTGGAAGACAATCCCACCAGGGGCTCAGCAGGGAAGCGGGCGGTTGCTGCTTTGCAGCCCAGCAGCCCAACTGGACCAATGTCTGGTTTCGCTGGGCAATTTCCTACCAGTTCCTGCAGGTGTCACTCCGTTGCAGCCCAGCTGTGGCTCACAGGCTTGCAGTTGGGTGGCCCTTGCTCCAGTCTCTCCCCAGTGTCTTCTGGGGCAGTAGGTTGCTGGTCTTTGCCGCAACTGGTCCTGGACCTCACTGAGGGCTCAGCTTTCTGAGAGAGCTGTCTGCCTCGTTCTCTGGTCCAGCCGAACTGAGCTGCAGGGCCCTACTCTTATACTTCCTGCCCTGCCCTGCCCTGCACTTCCTGGGGAGGGTGGGACAGGGTTAGCTGTGCCTAGCAAATGAAAGATTATGTCATGTGATGAAACCTCCAGGAATATGTCCAACCAAAATTGGCAACCCTAGCTGTGCCTCCCAAGGGAAGTAAACCCCCTCTGCACTGGAGAGAGGCCACTCTGCTTCAGTACATGCTGATTAAGCACAGGAGAAAAATATATGAAACAAAAAAGTAAAATCAGTTGTCATCTACTCCTTAGGAAACAGAAGACGGAAATCAAGCAACAGCCTCTCTGACGAAGAATTTTATAATAAAAGGCTAAAGGGTAGAGATATTTCAGGTAGAGAATTTTTGTGTGATTCAAAAATACTTGTTTATGGTTCATTTTATACTATTTATTTATTTATTTATTTATTAGGGCTAAATGTTAAATTGGCCTCCACAAATCTGACCACAGAATTTATGGGGACAGAAACCTGCATTTGTGGATGCAGAAGGCATCAATATACCTCATTTGTAGGAACAAATGTTTGCTTGTATGACCCACAGGTTGATGCTATAAATTAGGTGAGTGCATACATCAAGACAAAAGAGCTGCTTTTGAAGAATTTTTGCTATAGTGCTGGATTTTTTTTCCAGGAGAATTCTCCACCCAACGACTGGGACCAGATTTTCTCAAAGTTCAGCTCCCATTCTGGCATCTGAAAGTAATAGTCTGATTTTTCAGAAGTGCTCAGCACCCAGTAGCTCTCATTGAGAAGTCAATGGGACTCAAGCACATGCTTATGTACTTTGCTGAATTAGGGCCTTAATTCAATACGTTCCAATATCAGATGCACCTGCTGCTACTGGATATGCTAACAGATAACAGGTTGCATGGATAATTCTAGATGCCTCTAAGAACCTTAGCTTTATTTTTCTTCCAAACATATTGCTAAAAGTTCAGCCTTGCTGGCTTTCCTAATGGTTACTCTGAGAAATTATAGACATGCTGGGGTTAATCACCAAAATGTCATACAGAGGAGTATCATATTACAGTAGACATTACAATAGTCAAAATTGTACATTTGGATCCAGTTTCTGTTTACAATTTCATGTATATAAAGTTTTAAGTCAGAGCTTTACATTACATTTTTAACCCCTGCTTTACAGTGTTTGAATTCTGTCCAGGAAAGGGATACATCTTTTGCTTCCAGTACCTATTTCTGCATGGTCAGCTCATCCAAAGAAAATAATGATAATGTCTGAATAAGGTGATATTCAAGAAATGCAGAAAGAATCAGCAAAAAAACCGAGGAGTACTTGTGGCACCTTAGAGACTAACAAATTTATTTGGGTATAAGCTTTCGTGGGCTAAAACCCACTTTATCAGATGCATGCAGTGGACAATACAGTAGGAAGATATATACACAGAGAACATGAAAAAATGAGTGTTGCCATACCAACTGTAACGAGACTAGTCAATTAAGGTGGACTATTATGAGCAGGAGGAAAAAAAACCTTTTGAAGTGATAATCAGGATGGCCCATTTCAAACAGTTGGCAAGAAGGTATGAGTAACAGTAGGGGAAAAATTAGCATGGAGAAATAGTTTTTACTTTGTGTAATGACCCATCCACTCCCAGTCTTTATTCAAGCCTAATTTAATGGTATCCGGTTTGCAAATTAATTCCAGTTCTGCAGTTTCTAGTTGGAGTCTGTTTCTGAAGCTTTTTAGTTGGAGAATTGCGACTTTTAGGTCTGAAATTGAGTGACCAGGGAGATTGAAGCGTTCTCCGACTGGTTTTTGAATGTTATAATTCTTGACGTCTGATTTGTGTCCATTTATTCTTTTGCGTAGAGATTGTCCAGTTTGGCCAATGTACATGGCAGAGGGGCATTGCTGGCACATGATGGCGCATATCACATTGGTAGATGTGCAGGGGAACGAGCCTCTGATGGTGTGGCTGATGTGATTAGGTCCTATGATGGTGTCCCTTTAATAGATATGTGGACAGAGTTGGCAATGGGCTTTGTTGCAAGGATAGGTTCCTGGGTTAGTGTTTCATTTGCATGTCAATGATAGGCTCTCTCTGTATTTCTCTGTGGTGGCTTTTAGCCACTAGAGGGCGCTATTTAATCATTTAAAAACTTCATTTACAGTATTTTATAAAATGATCCATTGAAAGAGAAATCTGATTAGACCATTGAGGTTCTGACTAGATAGATATAATCATGCAGGTTGTGACTTCTTACTAAAGTAATTATTAGAAAGGTATAATAATCATTGTTATCTGTAAGGAGTAGCACACTTTAAGATAGACTGTTACGTTAGATACCTGCATTTTTCAGGTGATTGAAGGAACTTGGCTTTCAGCTTAATGCTGCACATGCATCTGAAGTATCTGTGTATTCTGTATAACAGCATATCTAGATGTTTCAGACTTGTGGATTTTTTCCACTAGACAAGTAGCTGTTCACGATCAGAAAAAATTTTCAAGTCCTGGGCACAAAAACTAAATTTAAGATATTTTTGCGACCTAGGACATTTTGCACTTCTTCTTCAGGTGACTTTTCATCACTCCTGATGCTTACTTTGCTTGTCTTGTCAGTTCCTGTACTGCCTGGTAAGCTAGTAAGTCAGTACAGTTTTCATTAGTCAGCATTATAGCAACATCAATAAATGAAGTGAAAATGCAGCTTCAGCTCACTGACTAATCTGATCACCTTCGTCGTATGTCTCCTTGTTGCAGCTGATTTGTATCCCATGTGTTTTTTTAGATGGAACTAAAGCTAAAACTACGTTAACTGATCAGCAACTGATGACTCTTGCAAAGAAGATGGGTAAAGACTGGAAAGAAATAGCCATTGAATGTCTTAAGTTAGAAATGAAAGATATTCAGCAGATTCAGGCAAAAGAAGAAGAGGTTAATGTTCATAAATTCCTGATGTTGGAGAAGTGGAGGAAAGGTGAAAAGAGTAATGGAACTGCGCAAAATTTGTATGACAGTCTCAAGGATCATGTGTCATATGAAATAATACAGATACTGGAAGGTACACTTCAACTTTTCTTTATACTTCATTATGTGATTGTGTTTCAGACATGCTTCTGGTTTCAGTATCAGAGAATTCACTAGACATCCTAATATATATTTTTATTGTGTAAATAAAACATGAAGTTTTGCCCCTTAATGTTCATTCAAGTGTTTTTCATTCTACTTTATAATTATAGTAGTTTATACTTGCTTTTTGAAAAAATATTTTGGAGTGACTAATACTTAGAACAGTTGTTATAGCTTCATGTCAGTTAAAATCAACCACCCTTATAAACCCAAGCAAAATCTTATTTTTATTATGGAGCTCATTGCAGAAATGTCTGTAGCTTTGTTCCTAGATATTTTAGTAACATTGAAGGTGCACCTTTACCCAAGCTTATTGCAGTCTTGATCGTGCAAACACTTCTGTATGTACTTAACTTTATGCACTTTGATTTCAGTGGGACTACTCATGTTTGTAAAGTCAAGCATGTGCAGGACTGTTTGGAGAATTGGCGCCTAAACTGATCCAGGGAAAGTCTTTCTGAAGGGGAAAATTAGCTTAAAATTATATCTGTACAGTGTCATAAGATTTTTATGTACATTTATTACTATTATTATTATTATTACTATTTAACAATTCTATTGCAGTAGCACCGAGAGGCCAACTAATATATACATATGTGTATTCATTTCTTCAGGTTTTTTGGAGCAGACATGAGTTCATGGAGAAACAGCTAAAAGGAGAACTCTCAGGGACATTCAGCTGCATAATGGTTTAAACTTTTCATACTGTTTAAATGTGATTTAATTGTGGACTCTCTCTACAGTTTGGTACTCAGGAGACCAGTTATGAAGATACAAGCCATAAACAATCTTTGGAAAAGTTTAGACAAAACATTATTTAGGGAAAGAGTGTAAATTGAATTTTGCACCAATGTAAATGAATTTAACATTTTCAGGAGTAATTATTCAAATGTTTGGATACCAGTCAATTAACAATATAGTTGACACTGAAGCAGCAATCCTACTGCAATTTGAATCTCCCACTGACTTCATGTCTCCTTTGAACCATTCCTGCTAGGTGCTGAGCAACTCATGTGAATTGCAGAGCTATCTTAACCCACCCTTGAAAACAGCTCACCCTTTCCAACTATTTGACAATATTAAGCATTTTTATCCAGTTCCATGGGTCATTTCCACAGAGATTAGAAATGGCTTGGGGGGCTCATTAATATACCTCTCATCATCATCTATAAAACAATAGTGCCAATTTCACTGGGTACAAAACGTTTCTCTATACATACATTCAGAGGCTCAGGATGGGTTGCCATGTACATGGTGCATAAACCCTTCATGGTAATGCAATTACATGATCATTTTGTGTGTTTCTGTATACCGCCTCTTTGCTAGGCTGGTCTTATGTTTATTCAAAGGTGAAACATTAGTTTCAGTGTAGCACCAATATGTACTAAAGGCAGCTTTAACTTTTCTCTGTCAGGGCCGTGTTGGCTCCATGTGTCTAGTTGTTCACACATTTCTTATAAGCTGAGTTTGTCTGTTGTATAGATTTTTGTTGTATTATAATCAGTGTAAAATTAAATGTATTTTTTTTTTACTGTTTTTAACTTAAAATGAACATTAAAATGACAGGTGTGTAGGCTAGATATAGAAAATTTACTAAAGGATGCAGAAAAGCAAAAGGCCAATAGATAACTCAGCAAACAGGAAACACATTTATAGGTTCTTAAGTTTTTAAAATACTGTTATCTATAATACAGAAATGCTTCCTTGCAGGCAAGATTGTGGTCTAGTTTTAAGGGCTCCTGTGGATGTCTCTGTATTGTCTGCCTTTGAATGTGTACTGGTTATGTGTGCTTTTTAAAATAGGAATAAAAACTGAGAAATACCTATATCTGCATTGGAATTTTGAGTTTTTAATATTTTATTCCACAAATAAAATATAATTTAAATTATATCACAATCTGATCTTATATCAGCGTTCATCTTTTCAGCCCTCTACCAGTTCACTGTTAGATGAAATCCCACTTACGCTTATATACATTCTTCTGTTTAGGGGTCTTTTATTCATGCTGATCTTATAAATCTGTTCTCAGCCTTCTGAAAATATGTATCTCCATAGTGCTATGTCCACTAACTATGAGTTTTTCTGGATCTTGCCCATAGCCTTTTTTTGTGTTAGGTGTGTTAATTTACTGTATGCCTTGTTCCAGTTTTTGAAGAACTTTCTGTAAAGTCCTGGAATATCCCCTCCACATTCTAGACCAGGACTTTGAAATCATCAATCGTGTAGAATCAGCCCAGGTTTTATACCTAATCCAATGACTACTGGGACACAGCAATCAAAGTCTAGTCAGGATGCACTGAATATTCGTATAGAATAGACATGATCAATAGAGGTTATGCCCCCAATATCCATGCACAGACAGGAGCCACAGTGTTAATCATGCCATGCATGAATGGAGTTCAGCAACTCTGTGGCAGTGGTCACCCTCCCCTGGACCTCTTTGAAATACATGGGGCTCAAAGACTAGTCCTGTAGCCTCTTCTGTGTGTGTGGGGAAACCCTGTTCCCTCCGGTGGAATGAGTGAGGAGAGATATACATGAGGGGAACTTCAAGCCCTCCCACCTTTAGACCTTGCTGTCTCTCTGGTCAATGGGAGTTCCTTAAATCATGTACATTACTTTTGGTTCTCTTCTTTGAGCTTTTTAGGTTGGTGGCAGATTTCTCTGTTTTCTTGGTTACAGCCAAGATCAATGGCTGAGCACTGATGAGCCCACATGAAGGAGAGTCATCATGATCAGATTTTCACCCGACAATGCATGTCCTTATTGTTGGTTAAGCTGCTGTTTATATGTTCCAAAGTTGCTTTTTAAGGGCTTGTCTTCATCTGGCCATGTAGTGATAAATCACCCTTGACTCTGTGCCTCCACATATATGAGACCAATCAGAAAACACACTTCAGGAAATTCTGCAGCCACTGATATCACAGCTAATATATTTAATTTTTGCAGTGTGTTAAATTACCACTCTCTGTTTTTCTGTGATTACATAAAGCCATAACATTTTGGGAAGGCACTTTAGAAAATTGTTTTATTTCGGGAATATTATACTTTATTTTCTTGGGTCATTGTGTGCTTCCTACCTTATTGATGAATGTAACACACCCTCAAAAATATGGACCTACTCCATCTAACTGCAAAGATGGTTCAGGCCCCGATCCTACAATTGAGCACAGCGTGTGTACAGGGGGTATGCCTGTGTGCATCTCATTGCAGGATCAGAACCTAAACTATAAGAAGAAAAAATAAGTCAAACATGAAGGATTCCTTATTCTTCTGAGGCAAATTAGGGCTGAGACAATTTAAGTACCCCTAGAAATTGGTGGAAAAAACAGTTGCAAAATTGCTCTAAGGTATGGTCATATTTTTTAACGTTTTTATTAATTAAGTTTTTTAAACCAGCTGTTAACTGAAATTATTTTGAAAAACCTAATCTGTGTATATTTAACCTCCAAATGTTACCACACTGGATCATTGAAGGTGGCTCCGGGGGGGCTACCTGTTTGGCCAAGTGCTACCTAATTAGAATCAGAGAGGAGATTCCGTCATTTATGTAAGAGAGAGATTGTGACAGTAACAGACATTTCTTGTGAATTTTTTTATAAAAATATTATTTTATAAATGTTTATTGAGCATTCTAAGATTTTATAAAAAACAGTTAATTTCTTTCATGAAATGATATTAAAGTGTTGATATAAAAATGGAAAGTAGGTATTGGATTTCTGGTTATAAATAAATCAGATCTGCTTTTCAATTATTATGTCAAATATCAAGTTCTCAGGGAGACTGTGAAGGTACAAAACTCTGACTTCCTCCCATCTTTATACCATATCCGGCCAGAGCATGACCATGTCATTGGGAGCCTTATGCACCAAACTTATGCCGTAGACACTGCAACTTTGGGGACTGTAATAGTGGCAGCCCTGGGGCACTGGTAGTAATGTATCAAGACATTTCCTTCACACTGTGTCAAGAAGCCAACTCTGTTCCTGACTGAAGAATGTCGGAGGAAGCTTTTTGTAGGTGGGTGTAAAGAATAATCTGTCCATCTCTGGTATTAGGGGATCTCTTTCAGTGGTTAAAAGAAGGGTATTGTCTTTCTCCATATTTAAGATCAGTAACACAGCAGGCTACATTCCACTCAGAGGGGATTACCTGGTATCAGCTTTTAATTAGACTGGTAGCTAAATGTGCCTAATTAAATAACATGCCTTTCAGACTTCGTTATAGTATTAAATATGTATTTAAGTATTCAATACACAGGGTGAAATCCTGGCCACATTGAAGACAATGGGCTTTTCCCCCCACCCATAGTATGTGTAATCATATTTTGAGTAGAGATGGCATACTTCTGAGTGTCATATGAAGAAAAATACTGGAACTACAATACAACATATTTTATCTATTTAATATTCATGTGATACTAAAGGAATACGTAAAACCATTAGTAAGTAAACACTATGTACTAGTGAATTAGTCATAGAAAGGACCTTCATTTCCATCATAGCAGCATGACAAAAATCAGATTTGGAACCCCTGTTGAACTAATGCTGAACGATTGGGCTAGTCCAAACAAACACATTTTTTTAAAAAAATTTAGATGAAAGACTATTTTACCCATCATTTGGGTGTCTAAGCAAGAAGAGTCCCTCTAGGATTGAAACACATAACAAATATTGGGGCAGATTCTATGCCATGTCCATCTTCTGCTGGGTGCTACAAAGTGTGAGGACTGCCAGGGAACTGGGTGTGCATCCCTGATTCTCTGCTTCTGCTCTGGCACAAGTTAGAGCATCATTGGGGCTCAGGATTGCCAAGGTTGTCTGACACTTGCCATTATGAGACTGTTTTCAGATGTTCATAATCTTGCCAAACTGTAATTGTTTCAGCTGAAACATGTCATGCCAGGTGTCTGTCAGAATAATTTTTTTGTTGTTTTTTGGAAAGTTGCAGCAAAAATGGCTCATCCTTTTCCAAGACTGACAGTAGGGGAAAATATGTTGTTTTGCCCACATTAGAAAAATTCTTATAACTATTTCATTTACAAGCTATAGCATCACCATGCTGTGGAGTGGGGACTTGAAATTTGGCAAGTGGTGTCACCATGGTGTCAGGGATGGGCCTGTTGTTGCTGTTCTGTGAAAAAAAAACACCTCAAATTTGGCCTACTTATAAGTATTTGAAATAGCACATTTCACACATGCTCAGTACAGACTTAGAGTTTGGCTGCTAAATTCTTGGAAGAATCCATCTGCACTGAACATGCTCCACCCTGGAGCCAAGCAGGAGTTTCCCTGCAACTTCAATTCCCTGAAACTTAGATCAGTAAGAATGGCTTTTCTGTGGCATCAATGTGTGTCCCCTTCTACCTTCCCCCTGGCAGGGAAGAGCAGTAAATGGCCAGACTCAGATGCAGCGGGAACAAGAATTAGACCTCTTCAGAGAGAGAGGTAAATCCTTGATTGCATTTCTGTAATGAAACATTGTCAGCTGAAAATTAACTCAAGCTTTAGGTTTGATTAAAATCAAAAACAAGTTGATACCATAACTAAGTTCAACAGAAATGCTTCTATTATTATTATTATTTAGTTCCTTCCCCTCCCCGCCCCCCAAAATGAATTAAAATTCTCCAGTGGCCTTTGCAGCCTAAACATTGGGGCACTGTACTAGGGCCTGAGAACTTGACAATATCTGAAGTTCAAACAGGAAATCAAATGTGCATTTTAAACAGTGAATATAAAGAACCATTGGAACAGATTACCCAGAGATGTAGTCAATTCTCCATCACTTGGAGTCTCTAAATCAAAACCGATGCCTTTTTAAAAAAAATACACTTTAGTTCCATTGGCAAATTACATGGATTACTAGGTTAAATTCTATGCCCTCTTCTATTATGCAGGAGGTTAAACTACATCACAATGGTCCCTTCTGGTCTTAAATATTTACTATATAATAAAAAGAACAGGAGTACTTGTGGCACCTTAGAGACTAACAAATTTATTGGAGCATAAGCTTTCGTGGGCTACAGCCCACTTCATCGGATGCATAGAATGGAACGTATAGTAAGAAGATATATATATACAAATACAGATAAGTTGGAAGTTACCATACAAACTTTGAGAAGCTAATTAGTTAAGATGAGCTATTATCAGGAGAAAAAAACTTTTGTAGTGATAATCAAGATGGCCCATTTAGACAGTTGACAAGAAAGTGTGAGGATACTTAACATAGGGAAATAGATTCAATATGTGTAATGACCCAGCCACTCCCAGTCACTATTCAAAACCAAGTTAATGGTATCTAGTTTGCATATTAATTCAGGCTTAGCAGTTTCTCATTGGAGTCTGTTTTTGAAGCTTTTCTGTTGCAAAATTGCCACCCTTCAATCTTTTACTGAATGGCCAGAGAGGCTGAAGTATTCTCCTACCGGTTTTTGAATGTTATGATTCCTGATGTCAGATTTGTGTCCATTTATTCTTTTGTGTCGAGACTGTCCGGTTTGGCCAATCTACATGGCAGAGGGGCATTGCTGGCACATGATGGCATATATCACATTGGTAGATGTGCTGGTGAACGAGCCCTTGATGGCGTGGCTAATGTGATTAGGTCCTATGATGGTGTCACTTGAATAAATATGTGGACAGAGTTGGCATCAGGCTTTGTTGCAAGGATAGGTTCCTGGGTTAGTGTTTTTGTTGTGTGGTTGCTAGCGAGTATTTGCTTCAGGTTGGGGGGATGTCTGTAAGCAAGGACTGGTCTGTCTCCCAAGATCTGTGAGAGTGAGGGATCGTCCTTCAGGATAGGTTGTAAATCTTTGATGATGCGCTGGAGAGGTTTTAGTTGGGGGCTGAAGGTGACGGCTAGTGGAGTTCTGTTATTTTCTTTGTTGGGCCTATCCTGTAATAGGTGACTTCTGGGTACTCTTCTGGCTCTGTCAATCTGTTTTTTCACTTCAGCAGGTGGGTATTGTAGTTTTAAGAATGCTTGATAGAGATCTTGTAGGTGTTGGTTTCTGTCTGAGGGATTGGAGCAAATGCGGTTGTATCTTAGAGCTTGGCTGTAGACAATGGATCGTGTGGTGGAAGCTGGAGGCATGTAGGTAAGTATGCGGTCAGTAGGTTTCCGGTATAGGGTGGCGTTTATGTGACCATTGGTTATTAGCACAGTAGTGTCCAGGAAATGGACCGCTTGTGTGGATTGGTCTAGGCTGAGGTTGATGGTGGGATGGAAATTGTTGAAATCATGGCGGAATAATATAAATTATATAGAATATTTTTGCCATTGACTTCAGTGAGACCAGGATTTCACCCTGTGAATCTATTATAGTGACTGGAAACAATTTATGAAGTAGACAGAATAGCCTACTTTCATTGTCTTTTCTGAGACCATACATCCAACAGAGAAAACGAAATTAGATTTTTTTCCCCAGTACGTGGGTGTTACCAGTGATGTACTGTTTACAAGCAAATATTTAAATATATTTTAAAAAACAATTGCTAATGTGACAGTATCCCTTTTAGATAATTTTAATTCACAAATAAGAAAAAGACCAAAGTTAATTATAGAGATTATAAATTTATTAAACAATAAATAATAAATAAGTCAGGAATGTTATAAATAGGTTTCAATTTATATAATTTTATAAAAACTTACAAATGTATAAATAAATAATTTAAGATAAATAAATTACACCTGAGTGTTTGGAGAACATGTTGATACAATATAGCTTATTTTTTCTAGAAATGTAGAAATTTAACATCTTAGCTTAAAAGACACTGATAGTAATTTGCTCAAGACAACTTGGGTCATGAAAAATATTGTAGAATATTATTGTGCTTAGAAATGTTTTTGTAGAAGTATTACTGTATTCTTAAATTCAGGTCCAAATCCTGGAAGCCCTCTGTGAGTACAAGTTTCTATGACTCCAGTGAGAATTCTACACACAGAGGTCTTGCAGTAAGTAGAACCTAATATATATTTTCCTGATACTTAAAATAGCTTTAGTTCAATGTTTTATAGAAAGTGCTTCCAGGTTTCAGCACTATGATGAGCTTCCAGGAGAATTCAGGTAGTTCAGCATCTTGTCTATGGTCACAGTGCGAATTGTGAAAGCATGGAGAACACTACATAACCTCATTCTCTTTTTGAAAGAGGCTGATCCTCTGTTTGTAGATGGTTGCTCCACATTCACACTGTTAATTTTCACAGCCTTAAAAAAAAAAAAAAAGTGGGTTGGTCAGACAATTTAACCATGTTTAGAGTAGAAATATACATCAGTCTTTGAATATGCAAAAAATTAGCTTAATTATTTTAATTTAAACTATTAAAAATAAAATGTTTTATGAAAAGGTAAACTATGATAGTAATAATACCTTTCATATAGTTAGGGCCCAAACCTGTACTTCTTATGCAAGCAAACATTCCCAATGATGTAAATAGTTTTTCCCTGCCAAGGAATACAGGTTTGGGCCTTTAAAGGATAATCAGGGGGAGCTGTGGTTTACAGATAATTAAATCCAGTGCATTTGACAACTTTAGAATCTCCAGTGTACCTAGATACACTATGTTAATAAAAAGGCAATTATTTTAAAGTAGAGACATGATTGCTACCAGCTATTAGAATTTGTTAAGAACCATGTTACGTGTGTTCCCTGTTTCTTATCAATACATATTAATTATTTACCAAAATACAGTCTTATCTCTCACCCACACTACATTTCATGGTAGGGATGGGAGACAAAGTAGGATACCATTAAAAAGACAGAAAATTAACTACTGGTATGTTTACTACATCACTGAAAGGGAATCACTTTTTTAATACAGTAATATACAGTATCAAAGTAAGACCTCATTTATACAGAGATGAGAAACTTTCTTCAATTTTAAGAAAAAAAAATCATATCAACATTTTAAATGATCAGATTCCAGAGTAACTTATTATTTGGGTAACTACAGAAAGAAACACATAGAACAGGACTCCATTTATCATAGAAATCATATAAAGTAATCTTTTAGGCAACTGAAAGGAAAACAGACCTGTATCATTTTGTCAATAACGCTAGCCAGCATCTCCTGGTTACTGAAATTCTTGAACTCTGCCTTGTAAACCTTCAGGTCTTCATTGATACCTCGCATGCACTCAATCTGTAGAAGGTACAAGGATTAAGAAATATTGGAGAGTGATGTTAGATGCTTACAGACAAACAAAAAGCACATGATTTGCTCTTTTGAGAGACTGGCAATTTACCTTATCAAAATCAGCTCTTTCCAGTGCAGGACAATTTCCAGTCTGAAAATCAAAGACACCAGACATGAATGTGATCGTTCTGTATCAATATGATGAATTACATGATGGTTCCATATAAAGGTGATGAAACTTGATTTTTTATTTATTGCAATACCTTAGACTCTTCTGGCATACAAGCCTTAATTGTGTTGATTTTATTCTTAGTGATATCTTCAAGATCAACCTCTTCAAGGGTACATTCAAATCCTAGCATGCCACGCTCCTATGTAAACAAAGGGGACATTGTTTGAATCATTGCACATAATGCTGCAGGGCATGTTTATAAGCAGAAATATACAGGATAGTAGGTTACTGAAGGTGCTTCAACATCCTCTTTATATATCTTTATGCCTTTAACAACAAGCAAATATCCAAGCTATGAAGCTAATGTCAAAGGAAATTTTGCCATCATTTTCACTGGGAGCAAGGGTTGTAAACAGATTTATATTTTGTATGTGTCGCAGTGGATTACATTGTCTCCATTATGTTAACATTCTACATCATTCTAAAAGGATGAATCTGCACGCGGAACATTATATACCACAAACTTACAATTTAAAAAATTATTGCTTTTTTAAAAAAAGAGAAAGACAAATAACATTCAAATGGACAAGTGGCATTGTCTTGTGGCCAAACATCAGTGGCACTTTGTCTCACTGAGGTGATGGAACTATTTAGCTTCTTCTCCTCTCTCACCGTAAGGCTATGCCTATGCCAGGGAATTTTAGAAACAGATTCCCCTTAGCACTACTACCAGTTCAACTGTGCCAGTGACAGATGGTAAAAAGAAGAGGGACATATATAACTAAAAAGAAAAGGAGTACTTGTGGCACCTTAGAGACTAACCAATTTATTTGAGCATGAGCTTTTGTGAGCTACAGCTCACTTCATCGGATGCATACTGTGGAAACTACAGAAGACATTATATACACAGAGACCATGAAACAATACCTCCTCCAACCCCACTCTCCTGCTGGTAATAGCATCAAGTTGGGCCATGTCTCTAAGGTGCCACAAGTACTCCTTTTCTTTTTGCGAATACAGACTAACACGGCTGTTACTCTGAATCCTGAACCCATAAAATTCTTAGAAAGAGATAATGTGAGAGGATACTTTCATGCTGGGCTGTTTGAATTCTTTAACCAGCTGCCAACACACTACCTAATTGCCTACCTGACGGCAAGTTTTACAGAATTTAGTGACTATATATGAATTAACCAAACTGAACAGGGGTTGGAAAAAATATCTCAAACAGGACAGATAAGGAAAAAGTAAAAGCAAACACTAGCAGGACACAGATCAGAGGGAGATACTTTGTGACAGAGGGTAGAAGTTCTCATGAGAACAAGCTGGAAGACAAAGAGTTTAAGGGTAGAAAGTTCTCATGAGAAAATGAAAGGTATTTTCTTTATTAATTGTAATTAAGCTTAAAGTACCTATTTAGGTTAACTTTTACTGAGCATAATACTGGATATGTGATGCAGATCATCTCTTTGCCTTAACCTGAATCTATCTGTTCTTTTAAAAAAACAACCCCAGAATCTTAGGCTGTTGTGTGAAATTCCCAAATAAACTGTCACAGAAAAGAAAAAATAAAGAAACCACTAAGAAGCGCTGAAGGAGGATGGCTGGAGTCAATCCCTGTATTGTGTTCTGCTTACCAACAAGTAATTTATACTACCATATCTATCACCCCCGAATTTGTCCCAGTTGATTTAAGTCCTGCACCAGTGGAAGATGACAGATGAAGCTTCATTTCAGGCAACAATTAGATAGAACAATAATAATAATTAATAAAAAGGATTGGACGCACAAATGAAAGGTAAGTATGAAACAACAAGCAAGAAAAAAATGGTAAGGAAATTAAGGACAAATTATTACCGTTCTCTGGAAATACCAAACGATTAATATGGTTAAAAACAGAGGCACAGAAATTTGATTAGCTGAAGCGAACAGAAAAGAAAAACAAATATGCATGCATTTCTGAAAAGCCGGAAATGTAAGGCTACACACAGTTTGGGAATGTGCACCATCTGGCTGCTTTAGAAAAAGGATGCCTCCTCTCATAGAAATAAAACCGCCCACTGCTCCTTCCATCTGAATATCTCAAACACTCTCTTACACACATTGATAAACATAACACCCCTAGGAGGTAGGTATGTATTACTTTCCCTATTTTAAAAATGAGACAACATGAAGAGGAGTCCTTGATCCTTCTGTGCACTACATATCAAAAACTCCCAACTCGTGGTCAGGGACATAATCCATGTTCTAGCCTGCTTTGTTATTTGTTGTGTAGATGGGACTCCTTAACCTAGCCACATCAGACAAACGTGCAATGGCACAGTTAGATTTGTAGTATAAATGGTGCCTGAGCAATTTGCCCAAGTCATAGAGCGCATCTAGCTGCCAATAGAACCTGCATTTCCTGAACTGCACCTACTCCTAACCCTTCTATCTAGGTTTTCATTGTGCACCCCGACAAGTCCCATTCTTCCTCCTCTGCGCAAAACTGTGAATCTGGCCAAACAAATTCAGAGACAGCGGCAAAGAAGCTACATTTGCCTCCCCTCTGGAAAAAAAACATTTCATACCAACTCCTGGTGCCACTAGTTTGTACATTTGACACCTCTTCCACTTCTTCCTCAGGAGCTAGTCCCAGTAACTGACCTAACCCTTGCAGGTACTGTTTTACTGGGGTGTTGATTCAGCTATAAATATGGAAGACAAGCCGCTTTGCTGAACGAGCGAGGACGTTTTTTAACTCGTCACCAGACCCGACGGGAGGCGCGGAGCACGTGGCAACGGCAGACAAACCTGCAGCTGGCGCAGCGCTTCCCTCGCCGCGGCGAGCAGGGACTTAGAAACGCTGAGGCAGTCACTCAGGTTGGGCCACGAGGAAGGCAGCGGCGAGGTCGCTGCCCAGTCTGGCAGGCTGAGGCAGAGGAGACCCACCAGGAGCCAGCCACCTGAAACAGACACGGGCCGCGCGTTAGCACGGCAGCCAGCTACCCCTGGGCAAAGGGACAACGCCTGCACGTGCACCCCCCGCTCCTCCTTCCCCGCGCGCTGCCCGCCCCGCCCCGCCGCCCCCCGGACCCGGGCCGGCGCCCTCGGCAGCACAGAGCGCACGAGGCCTCGGCGTGCGCCCCCTGCTGGCGGGGTCCTTGCGCTGCCAGGCCGGGGCGCTGGTCACTCACGGGGGCAGTCGGGGCCGCTGCGCTTCGCCATGCGGACGAGCTGAGGTGGTGCTGGAGCGCTGCTGGGGCCCGCTGGCGGCAGCGGCTTTTATAGCCGGAGGCGCACCGTGCGGCCAGGACTTTCCCTCCTCTCTCTTTCTCTACATCAGCTGCTTGGTCAGAGCTGAAACCCTGCGATGCAGCCGGCGGGCTCTCGGCTTCCCTCCGGGAGGCAGCGGCCCCCGGCTAGTCATCCCGAGAGAGCCCCCGGGCCTGGCCTCGCGGGCGCGCAGGGAATCCCGAGAGGCGCGCGGGAGTCCAGCGCCGCGCCAGGGGCGAGCTGGGGCCCGGGCACCAGGAGAGGGGCCGAGGGGGACTTTGCCACGCCCCCGCCCGGCCTCCTTTGCCCGGGTGGGCTCCGGCCCTGTCCTGTCCCCAGCACTGCTGTGCTGCACGGGCCCTGCGGCCGGGGCACATGGTAGCCTCAAAACCAAGCTTGGGCTGAGTGAACCACGTGCGGGCTCTAGTGAGCAACTCCCAGGCCTGGGGGACAGCAGGTCCGTGACCAGCTCTGGCTAAATCACGTCACTGCTCCCTGCCTCAGTTTCCCTAACTGAAAAGTGAGGATCATAATAGTCCCCCCTCCTCACACTGGTGCTAGGGGACTCAGTGCATCTACCGTTATGAAGTGCTCTGAGATCCTTGCGGCAAAGGTGCTGTAGAAATCCAAAGGATTATTACAATATGATGTCACTTTGATGAAATTTGATAATCTGACACTAGTTCCTCACCTTGTGATGTGACATGCAGACACAGCCTCATACAGAAGGAGTTTATCCTGCCAGCCTTGCAAGAGAATTAGTGTGACAGGGTTGCAACACATGAGTGAATAAAGTGTTGGCCCAGCATGTACAGGTTAGTATGGTTTTCAGAAATATGTCTTGAAGTTAAATCAGGATTTTAATGAAGAAATGGGATCAGCAAGAAATACACGAGGCCTTCCTTTTCTTTGTTGCATTCCACAAGCAGCAAAGCAAAAAGATGGGGTGAAGCTGAGCATATTTTAACTCCCTGTAATGCATTACTGTGTAATCTTCCTCCCTAGTTCTAAATAGCCTTTACTCTTATGATATGACCACCTTGTTAACGGTAAGCAATGGTGAAGCATTTCTGCCCCCCCCCCCCCCTTTTTTTTTGCTGGTTACCACTCAGTCTCCAGCCCTGCATCCAGATGTTGGAGCATTTAGTGATACATATTTTTTTAAAAAAATCATTGAAATCTATTTTAGGAGTTGGATCAATTCCAGTCACTGTAGTATCTGGGAAAAGGTTGTTTGGGGACCAAGCTGCTTGCATTATGGCATCACAGAGTGGTGTCATGACTTTGTTCAAATGTCATTATGGTGCAGGATGATGATATTATTAGTATGTAAGGAGGAACAAACAAGTATGATGATCAAGCTTCCTTTTGTTGTAGATAGAAAGCATATCTAATAATTAATGTATGTGCAGTATTGGAATTCAGGAGATCTTGTTGCTATGTCTTGCACTGCCATTTACATGCTGTGAAGCCTTGGCAAGTCGTTTAACGTCTTTGTGACTCAATTTCCTCATCTTTAAAATAGAGATAATACTTCCCTTCATCCTATGGGTGCTTTGACACTTAAAACATTAACCTTTGGAAAGCACTTCGAAATCCTTGGATTGGATCCTTTTTTTATACTCTCATTGCATTGTCTCATATAATGGCATTCAGTAATGGCTATCATATTAAAGGGGAAAACTAACAAATTAGGAACTAAAAAGGGTCCCATTCCCACCGGCTGCAATTGGGAGAGCATCACTCTCTAAAACTATAATGTACTATATGCAAAGGACAAACATTACTGATATTTTTTGGGAATCTACACAAGCCGAATGCTAATGATTAATTGCCAAATCTAATGTGTAGGTCTAAAAAAAAGATTAAGCAAATTTATTCTCAAAAAGCAATCTAAAATTATTAATTTTGTATCTAAATGGAGCAAAAACAATTATATGCAATAGTTTCGGGGCACTGGTCTAACAATAGATCATGCAATTGAATCACTTTACGTATGGGATCATCTTTTGATTTAAAAAGTTCCAGGGACAAGCAAATAAAATTCTTAGAGGTCCTTACAATATTGTAACAGGCTCTGTAGATTTACTTAGAGAGCATTTTCTCGATTAAATTGATTTGGGGGTATGAAACTGGAAAAGCCCTTAGAGCTAGGCCTTAGATGATAGGCCTGAGAGCATCTTTGCCTGGAAAGTTCCAGGTTCATGCTGAAATCCTGTTTAGTGTAATGCCCTGATAAACTCTTTATTCTTAGTCTCATGTCTTAAGGTCCTAAAATCTCATGCTGCAGGGCTTCAGCCAGTCACCTGTAGGGGTCAGGAAGGAATTTCCCCCCGATATATTTTGTTTTTCTTTTCTTTCTTCTGGAGCAGTGATTTTCAACCTTTAGTTCGTGGACCCCTGGGGGTCTGCAGACTATGTCTAAGGGGTCCGGGAAAGGTTGTAGAACAGCTTTTTTCAACCTGTGGTCTGTGGACACCTGGGGGTCCTCAGACTGTATCTAAGATTTCCAAAGGGTTCTGCACCTCCATTCGAAATCTTTTAGGGGTCCGCAAATGAAAAAAGGTTGAAAACAAGTGCTGTGAAGCATCAGAGATGGCCATGGCTGGAGAGCACCTACTACAGATGTTGGACTGCTGCACAGTGGATTAGCCAAGGGACCTTTTGTTCCCTGGTTGCAGCAGAATGAGGCTCTGTGCCAACTTCACAGAAGCCACCACAAGGAAATCTGGACAGGGCAGAGGTCTGAGCTATTCTCTACTGCAGTGGTTCCCAAACTTGTTCCGCCGCTTGTGCAACGAAAGCCCCTGGTGGGCCGGGCCGGTTTGTTTACCTGCATCGTCCGCAGGTTCGGCCGATTGTGGCTCCCACTGGCCGCAGTTCACTGCTCCAGGCCAATGGGAGCTGCTGGAAGCGGCGGCCAGTAAGTCCCTCAGCCCATGCCGCTTCCAGCAGCTCCCATTGGCCTGGAGCCAGGGGCTTTCTCTGCACAAATGGCAGAACGAGTTTGGGAACCACGGCTCTACTGCCTTTGCACAGTCATATATACCCGTGTAAAGCGAGGGTGTAAAATGATTCCAAACCAGAATATATGTTTTTCACCTATTTAACCAGGTGCAAGTGGGTACAAGGTGCAAGCTACAAGGCAGTGAAGGATGTGCCCCCTGATTTCCATGGACCCTTGAGTAGTGGTTGTGTGGGGATTATAGGCCCTATCACAACCCAGATGTTGGAATAATGTCAGTGTAAAGATTGCAGAGATGGTTTGTGCTCTGCTTTCAGATTGGGGAATGTATTCCAATCCCCTCCAGCCTCTAAGTAGTTCTCTTCACAAAACCCATTTACTTGGGTTTGTAGAGAAGAAACTGGGTTTGTAATGAATTTTACTCCAGCCAGTGGAGATATGAGGAATAGCCAAGAACTAGTGGCTCCTTTTTCAAAACAACAACAATCTCTCCTCCTCTCCCCCCGCAACAATTTGTTAAATGGTAAGACAAAAGCAGGCACCACAGCAGGCAGGTACTACAGAAATCTACAGCTTGGCGACCAGCTGGAGTTTCCAACACCAGCCTTCTCGTTTTCTTTGCACTTACCCGAAATTCATGGCTGCAGTTTGGTATAATTTTTCATTTCAAAAATTTAATGTAGGAGGAATAAAAATATCCAATTCAAATGTACAGATACCAATCTTTTTCTTTTTTCAATTTTGTTTTTATTACCAAAAGCTCTGGAAACTTACAGCGATATGGTGTCATGGCCCATGATAAAGCACATCTGGAAGCTGCTTTTATAGCTTGTTTGATCACATAATGTTTTAATATTAGATTATATTGTATACATGTCACACTACCAATATGTAGGTTAAAATTATAGCTTTATAATCTCTTGGGTTTGAATAATTTTTGGTCCAATATTGTCTTCAATGATGTCAATGGGAGTTTTATTATTGACTTCAATGAAAGCAGAATGAATCAAGAGTTTTATATTGAATTTCCAGGTTCGTCTGATTTTAATTGACATCTAATTTCCCATAATATGCTTGTGGTATATCTAGAGACTAGCTTTGCTAGAATACAAATACTGTATAATTTTCCAGTTTTACTGTGTATTTTCCACTTTTTGGCAAGTCATTAAGGTTGTGGGCTGTGGTTTTAATTTAGTTAGGAGACTTTTTCTCACATAGAAGTGAAACAGGTTTTGGAAATATGAATGAGTGTGAAAAGCATTTATTAGGCTTCCCATGTTCTCTGCATGGTGAAATTAAGTTGTAATGTTGTCTTCAGTAATAATGCATGAGATTTCTCATTAGATGGAGCTGTGCCAATCACCCTGGCAGATAATGTAGACCAGTGGTTCTCAAACTTTTTTTTCCATGGACCGCTTGAAAATTGCTGAGGGCCTTGGCAGACCACTTAATAGTCTTTCTAAATGTAGTTTGTACCGTTAGCTAACTATTGTAAAGCGCTTTAGATGAAAGTGCTATATAAAAAAAAACAAATAATAATTAATGTTTTTGTTCTATAAATAAAAGCACACAGCTCATATTTTAATATCAGTCTCTCCCCAACCGTGCAAGCCACTGACCTGGGCTGGGAAGGATGGGTGGGTCTCTCCCTCTCTCCCCCGCCGTAGCAGCTACTAAGCCAGGGCTGGGAAGGAGGGGGTTCTCTTCCCGGAAGCCGCAGCCCTGGCGCTGGAAAAAGTTGCCTCTTTCTCTGGCTGCCACAACCTTGCATGTCCCAAATTCCCCCTACCCTCTCTTCTCACCCCACTACCCCCACACCTACCTCCTATTTCCCCCACTTCAGCCCACTGCCCCCTCCCACATACCCTCTATTCCCCCCAAGGCCACCCCCTCACCTTACATGTGCATCTTCTCCAGGGTCCAGGCACCTAATTAGTGGAGCCTCGCCTGTGTGGGTCCACTAATTAGGTGGATGGCCCTTCATTCT